GCGTAGGTTGCTACTCTTACATTATTTGCAATCGGCATGTCCGCAGTGAATAGTGTATATAATACAGGACCTAGGACGCTACCTTGTGGGATGCCAGCATTTATGCCTACTATTGAAGAAGTCTCCTCTCTTTGCTGAACGTAGAAGCGGCGTTTATCGAGATACGATTTAAGCAGCAAATAGTATGGTGCAGGCAACCATTTTTTTATTTTATATAGTAGGCCTTTGTGCCATACTCTATCAAACGCTTGCTGGACATCGAGATATGCTGCAGTGCAGTATTTTTTACACTCAAATGCTGTTATAATTTCATGCATCACCCTGTGGCACTGCTCTGGGGTTCCATGTCCTCTCCTGAAACCAAACTGGTATTCGGGAATGATGGCGAGTTCGTCCATAATAGGCAACATTCTCTTCAAGAGTATTTTTTCAAATACCTTAGAAAATGTTGACAGTAAGCTTATGGGACGGTACGACGATAACTCAGTTTCAGGCTTCTTTGGCTTTAAAATCATCACCACCTCAGCACATTTCCACTGAGTAGGAAAGTGGTCTAGCCTCATGATCGCATTAAATATAAAAGTTAATAAACGAATGCATTTTGGTGGTAAGTTTTTTAAAGTTAGTCCATCAATTTTGTCCAGGCGGGCGCTTTGTTGTTTTATAAGTTCTTAATTTCCATTAAAACTTCCTTCGTTTGTATACGATGAATTGGTAAGCTCATTTGGCACGGAGAAACTAAAAATCTCTCTATATCTTTCTCGACAGTTTCGTTTACCATATTATTTGGCTGAAATACAGAGTGCAAGTGGAGCGCAAAAGCTTCAGCTAGCTTGTCATCAGATCTACACCACTCACCGTTGTTGTTCTTAGCAACTGTGCTTCTCTTAGCCGGTCTTTTGAGATATTTTGTTGCTCTCCACAGATTATGTTCATAGTTTAATGATTGAGGATCAAGACTTTTAAGGAAAGTGGTAAGAGATTCATTCTTTAGGTCTGATAACATTTTTTTTAGATCTGATGTGGCCTTGTTATACAGTCGCTTGTCAGCGGGATATCTGCTTTCCTACCATCGTTTTCGCAAATTCCGTTTATTCTGTATCATTGTCCGGATTTCAGTTGCTATAAATGGTGGTCTTATATGTTGGGAGTTAGTTGCAGGAGCAGTAGATATATAACTCGCTGAATGTTTTGCGGCTGTTAAATACTCTACTGCAGCATCTATATCGTCTCCTGTTTTTAAAGATAAATTGGAACTTACATTTGATTCAAGATAGTTTTTAAGCATATTGATGTTTGTAGTTGATGAGATTATTTTATATGGCTTTTTTTGCATACAAGCTACAGCGCAATATGTGGCTATTATAGGAGAGTGATCAGAGCTTAAGTCAAAATTTTCAATAACATTCATGTGTGATTGTGGATTTCCAGAAAAAACTATAAAATCAATCAAGTCAGGAATATTGCGGCTGTCGGTAGGCCAGTATGTTGGTTTTCCAGTTGAAAGGCTTACAAATTTATTAGCTTGTATGCATTTGTAAAGCTCGCTTCCTTTAGGGTTTGCTAATCTGGAACCCCACCATGGATGTTTTGCGTTAAAATCACCTCCTACAATGAATCTCGGCCCAATTCTCTGAAAGAAGTTATTGAAATCCGCTTCTTTGAGTGAGTATCGAGGAGGCAGATATATAGCAGATACTGTCACATCTGCATGCACACATTTTATCTCTATAACGGCTGCTTGTATGGAGTCTTCCCTGACACTGTCCATAATTGTAAATTTTATTCCATTTTTTTAAGAATGGCAGAGCCTCCATGAGCTCTATTCGCAGGGTGGTCGGCTCTTAATAAATCATATCCGATTATACGACAGTAAGATTTGGTGGTAAAATGAGTTTCAGATATGAGCATGACGTGTATTTTATTTGTTTTTAAAAACATAGATATTTCATTGACATGGTTGCAAAGCCCATTGGCATTCCAAATTCCAATATTAAGATTTATTTGCATAATTTGTTTACAAGTAACATAATCATATTAAGCAAATTATTCGTAAGTTCAGACTGTTTCTCCAATAGGTGTTCTATTCTTTCTAATGAATTGCTTGTGTTAATATTATCTGATGTCACTTTAGCATATGTTTGGTATTCGTTAGATATTTTGAACGGCGCTGCATTCGGCGGAGCAAAATTGTAGGTTGCTTCGGTTTTATTGACTGCGTTCATATTTGGTTTGCGACCTGTTGATGTCTTTTTGGACATGAGTTCCTGGTAGATACTGCACCCTTTGTAGCTTGCAGCATAATTTCCATCACAGTTTGCACATTTAGCTGGAGACTCTTTATCTTTTGGGCAGCAGATGCTTGGATGTGGAAGAGAGCATTTAACGCACTTGAAGTCTTTTGAGCAGTAAGCTTTAGTGTGTCCATATTGTTGGCAGCGATAGCATTGTACTATATCATTAACTTTGCGAACTGGCTCGACGTTGACTATAGCATTTTCAATATGTTTCAGATTCCAGACCCATCGAAGAAGATTAAGAGGTGCCCCATATTCCCCATAATGATTATATGTCTGGCAATCATCGCTCTCATCACCGTAGTCCAAGGCAGTAGCATAGAAGTAAATTCAATAAGTGCTAAAAATGGATACCTATTATTTCAAACAGGAGTTACGGAGATACCCACGAGTTACTAATATTATTACTTAAGCATAAACATAACTAAGACCATGTTAATGTTTGAGAACTTGTTGGATGAAGCGATATATTTTCCTGACGTAATCCAAATAGATTACTTAGTTGAAAAACTAAAAAGGGAAATAAATGGTTTGAGAATAATCAAGAGAACCAAACGAGGTCTAGTAAATATTGTAGGAACAGCATACAAATATTTATTCGGCACACTAGATCAAGACGACAGAGATGTGTTAGAAAGCAAAATTAATAACTTGTCAGAAAATTCCGTTCAGAATCATGATTTGAATATGATTATTGATGTGATTAACAGCGGGATAGATATCAATAACAAATTCAAAATTGAAAATGAAAAACAACAACAGGTAGCAGTACTTATTTTAAATTTACAACAATTTACTGAGTATATTGAAGACATAGAAATGGGTATGCAACTCACGAGATTGGGAATTTTCAATCCGAAATTACTTAAACATGATTACTTGAAACAAGTAAATTCCGAGAAAATGCTAAAGATTAAAACATCCACTTGGCTTAAAACAGATACAAACGAAATTTTAATAATTTCCCATGTTCCTAGCGAGATAACAAAAGTCCCAATATTCAATATAGTCCCATATCCTGACGAGTCCAATTACATCCTTACCGAGTCTGTATTTGATAAGTTTTATATTTACGAAGATAAGGTCTACAATACACACACAGGTAAACCAATTTCCGATAAGTGATTAATAGGAATTATTAAACAAGAACCTACTGAATGTAAATACACTAAAGCACACAATGATTTCCAAATCAATTATATAGAACCAAACATATTAGTCACCTGGAACATTCCAGAAACACTTGTTAATCAAAATTGCATCAACAATATTAAAATAAATAATATTAAAAATAAAGAATTGTACTATGCAAATAAATGAATTCATAATTTCAAGCAACCTTGCAGATTTTACACAGTCAATTTATATTGTTAACAACATAACCAAAATAGAACCTTTGGCAAACATTCAAACAAGAGATATAATCGAATCCCATGTAAAATATTACAGCATATTTCAAATCATGTCTTACATTTTTTGTTATTACAATCCTAAGTTTAATATTGTATGTCAGTTATAAATTTAAGAGTATACCTAAGAAACTCATTGTTAAATATAAGAAAACACAAGAAGAACAACCGATTCCGGAACAAATTGTAAATGATCAGATCATATCGGAAAATAACATCATGATTTATCCCACATTATCCGCCTGAGGACAGGCTAAATTCAAAGGTTGGGGAGTGACATATCCACAGTCCCATAGACTTTAGCACGTGCCTACTTATTCCACATATATGTACACCCATGAATCATCATCGAATGATAACCATACAGTCATCGGACACCACAACTCCACACGAGTTCGACAGTAGAATAAACACAAGTCCCCAGTAGTAGACTAAACAATTTTATTGTCTAAACATCCTTTTCTATTTGTCGCGGTCACACGCTCAAAGTTCGGACTCGTTAGTTCGAAAACAAAATTATCAAATTTCAAAAGAGCACTTGTATCCAAGAGCCAATGCACTTGAATCCAAGAGAAATTAAAGAACCAGTTAAGCTCTCTCTCAGAATCTTTCGAAATCCATCAAGACCCACAAAAGCTCGAAACCGAGGCTTGATCGTCACCCATCCTAGTTCAATAAGTGGAGTTCAGTTTGAGACACGAAATTATTCGGGCGGTGTTCTTCTTATAAAAATATCTTGTAAATTTTCGGTTAAATAAAAATAAAAAAAATGTCAAGGGACAGAAACTATGGGATTCCAATTCCGGTGAACTTTGTGTAAATTGTTATATTTCTACTTCCCCTTCAGTACCATTCCTTTTGAATTCAGCTCTGAAACAGGTTGGGTTGCAGAGGCCTCCATCCTGAATCATAAAGAAATTTTCATACAAGCCATCCAGGAATTTCCATACAGTAGGCATCAGAAAACATGAATTCGGATTACCAGAGAAAATATCCGGGAATCATTAAGGAATCCTGCTAGGAATTTGTCGTGAATTTCGACACGAATTCCCCCCTGAATCAGAAGGGAATTTCGAACCGGACTCTGAACGAAATCATCCAGGAATTTGAGACGGAATCAGGCAATAATCGTGGGGGAATTCAGAGTAGAATCAGATAGGACTCCCAGAGGAAAACGTGTAGGAGATCCCTGGAACCCTCGCCCCATAATAAATATCTGACGAAATTTATAATTTATTTTTTTAATATTTATTCATTTAAAAAACTTTATAATTTTTTCAATGATTACCACATTTTTCCTTAGCACAACTTCTTGCATATCCTCTAAACGTATGTTACGGATCTTTCCTTCCGGCTATTCTCTCGTTAATCTATAATTAAAATACATATGTATATACATATGGATATTAGAATATTTTTCACAAATATACACACCAATTAAGAAGAAAACAAATACTGGATTTACAATCTCCTTCCGTTCACACCGTCTAGGTTAAAAAAGAATTCAGGTTCAAAACTAATTCTGCTAATGAATTTATTAACTGAGTAAAAATAAGTCAATTACCTTTTAAAAATATTTAATAAATTACAATGCAAAATACTTGTGAACACTTCAGCTGTCATTAGATCTGCGAAAAAATCGATTTACAAAAATACATAAATTACATTGAAAATGTTTAAATTATATCTTTAATTAGCTTTAATGTACTGTCTTATGCTATATTGAATGAAAATCCCATAATGATGGCTGTAATGGGAATCCGAGTGTCTGAAGATATCTAATAAATTTCAGTGCGATGTTTTGTTGTTTCGGAATTATTAATGGAGAAGATTTGAAGATCTGCAGATATTAAAGTCTCCTAATATTACAACTTTATTATTATCTATTTTGCGTTCTTCATCAACGTCAGCTTTAATTTCATTTCGATATCATGTAATACGAAATCTGAGACTCTTTTAAACAATTATGAATGACGTGTCTAGATATTTAAATGCAATCGATTGATAGGTTGCTCAGGGGCTTGGCGATTTCTTTGTTTCAAAAAGAAATTGCACATCTAAGAAAAAACTTGTTTTTTCCAGTACCATTTAATTGGTTAGATATTTATATTTTGGTCTAGATATTTAAATGCAATCGATTGATAGGTTGCTCAGGGGCTTCGCGATTTCTTTGTTTCAAAAAGAAATTGCACATCTAAGAAAAAACTTGTTTTTCCCAGTACCATTTAATTGGCTACTATCGATTCTCCTTATAATGTCAAAAATCCTTAGATTGTCTCTTCCTGGGAAAGAGTCAAGGTTTCAACAAAACATAAAAAGTATGAAGAACAAATAAGCTTTCTTGCTCTCCTTGGACATTTGTAGCCCCAAATCTAGTTGGAGGAACAAAGTCTCCTAAAAGGAAAAGACCCGATGCGTTTATTACTCTGCTGCATCCTACGTAAAGCGAAGCTCGCTTAATGTCCATTTAAGGTGCACTGCGACTTTGACGTCGGTTCCTCCTTGGCTTTTATGAATGGTTATAGCCTCAGGAGGAACAACAGGAATTGCTTTCGATCAACCAAAGAATGTCCTGAACTTCGACATTGAAAAACTCGAGCTGTTTTTTGAATTGGAGTCCAATCTGTGTGATCCGTTCTTTTGACCTGGTCATGGCACCAACTGTAGGATATAAAAACTTAATCAAAAGATTTGTCACTAATGTATCTTTATTAACTAAGCTGTTGTCAATTTGCATTAGTTGGCCTGTTGCCCCGTTTACCAGTCCATCATATGTGTCTATATTGACGGTCACCATATATTTTGCTGTTCTTTTAAGGTGTAGTCAGGTGGCAGTCACTGGGTTCCCTTCGTGGCAGCCGCGGCGCCGCCTCTGTCCACAGACCTTCCAAAGCTTTGCCGCTCTTGCACTCCCGCAGATCGCCCCTTCGCGCACTGCTCATCGGGCTAATCTACGTGTTCCCGCCCTCCTCTCTTCGATATTCCCGACCGCCCGCAACCGAGTTCCCGAGTTCGCGCTCCACTTCGCAAACCCGCTCTCGCACTGTTAAGCTTGGCTTATCGGTCGGGAGCGCAGACCTTATGTTTAAGGTAGTAAGTTTTATGAAATTTACAGAAATGGCTCAGACTGCCATCGACATTGCGTTGAGGAAGTTTATTGCTACGACAGACCTTGTGAGTCAATTTGATGCAAAGATCTACACTCCGGGCGCCCCAGAAGCCACCAAGCTCTCTCCTTACACGTGTCAAGTGCGTCGCGACCAGATTCGAACACTTTGGGAAAAGGTCGAAGGAATTTCGATAGTTGTTCTGAACTTATATCGGCATCCGGTGAGAGTACGCCTGGATCGGGCTAACGCTCCAGCCCAAATATGAGTATTGTTTCTCGGTCTACGAAAGATGTATTGCCGACCTCCAAGAGTTGATCGAAAAGGGCGCTTCTCAGGCCGTTCCAGATTCCCCACCGTTGTCTGCCACCGGTGGACACCGAAATTTTCGCGGGTGACTATATTCGGTGACCCATGTTCAGTGACCCTTTTACTGCGGTTTATATTCACAACTCGCGTCTCACCCCGGTGGAGGAATTGTTCTACCTACTATCAAAGATAAGTGGCGAAGCGCTTTGTTTTCAAAGCCCCGCTCACCGACGAGGGCTTCGTCTCAGCTTGGCGAAGCCTCATCGACCACTTCGAGAACCGGCTGTTGTTGGTCAACAGCCAGTTGAAAATTATTTTTATATCAAAGTTCCCATTCCTTCCTTACGTGCCGCAGACGGCATCACACCTTGCTGCATCCCAGAAACTGTTCCTTCAGTGTTTTTAGATTGCTCCTGAACCTTCTAGCCCAGAAACCGCACCGATCCAAAGGATATCTTCGTTCTCCACGCGAGTCACTACTTCTCCCAACGCCTTCAATTTTTGGGTGGCCTACGGCGAAATCAAGAGCAGACGTTACCTATGCCGAGTCTGCAGCGGAATCCATCCGCTTCGAAAATGACAAAAATTACGCGGTGTCCACCAACCGCTACTGTTTCAACTGTTTGGCCCACGAACATTCCCAAGGCAAGTGCTGCAGAGAATACGTGCAATCAGTACCACCCCCGCGGCGCCGCCTCTGCCCACCGAGCCCCCAAAGCTTTGCCGCTCTTGCACTCCCGTCGGTCGGCCCTTCGCGCACTGCTCATCGGGCTAATCTACGTGCTCCCGCCTTCCTCTCTTCGATATTCCCGACCGCCCGCAACCGAGTTCCCGAGTTCGCGCTCCACTTCTCGAACCCGCCTTGCACTGTAAAGCTTAGCTTATCGGTCGGGAGCGAAGACCTCATGTTTAAGGTAGTTAGTTCTATGTATGATGCGAAAAAAAGTTGACGCACTGAAGCAAGCCCCACGACGCCCCCGACTTATCTTATACTATTTTACGACTGCGTCGAGGGATCTATTTTACCATACAGGATCTTTAGCGGCAGGATCGCTCCCCAACGAACACATAATTTGGGCCTTTCTTAGAGTAATTTCTTTGTTTCTTACTTACATATGAGCTGTTTTTACAGTATCAATGGCAGTTGAAATCAACTCTTCTGTGGCGATTTCAGCCAGCTTTAAGGAGTTGTATTGGTTAACCTCATCATCAGAAGCAAATAGATGGCTAGCGACATCTGGAACTTCAGTTGGCGGACAACTCCTTGCCTAAAAAGCTCTACATCTGCATCTGTCATATTGGCTTCAGACATGATATTCAACGGCAAAGAAAATGCCTTATCGTCCGTTTGGCGCATTTTTTCGGCTAACGCAAAGAACTTAAAATTACTTCAAAGGTTTGTGCCAGCCAGAATATTGAAGGAATTTGATGTATTTTCAGATCCCCAAACGCTATAATTGACTTACCCAAAAATTACATCTTGACTTCTAAAAATTGGTCGAAGTCTTTCATCCAAATATCCGAGCGTTTTGGATCCGACCATCGAGATTTCGTTTATAATAATTAATTGGAGGTCAATTAGCTTACATGCATTAAGGAGTCATTGCTTCAGGGTCTTAAGGGATCTGATGTTTAATTTACTGGAATTTACTGGAATGAATTGAACCTACCTAAGAATTAGGGCATGCTTACGCCATGGGATTTTCATCATCCATTTCAACTTCGATCGCTTCATCATAATCTTCGTTGGAGACCCATCCCATCCCAATTTTTAAAAAGCTGCAAATTTTGCAAGGCATATCGATTTCAAGTCAGCATGCCTTTGCACGTACCGATCAAGTAAATGTTGTTCAAAAATATCAGTTGAATTCCCAGGAAGCTGCTTTAATTCTTTATTGGATCGCACTATCAGAACCTTTTGTCTGGATGGCAAGTGTTTATAAATATATTTCCTTCACTCGCCTCAGATATTTGTATGTAGTCCTTAGATGGTGTATGCTGCTTCTTGGGCTAATATTTCCGTAGCATTAATAAACTGGCTCCCGAAATGCAGCAGTTTCCATTTAGCTGATATATTTCCATGGCAAATTTCATTAATGGCTTTTTGAAGCAGTTGCGACACCCCCCGGTTAGACTTATTCATGTAATTAATTATATAACTATAACAGGCAAACGCAACTAAAATAAATTGTATATTCATGTTAGCCCTATGTAGGCCTATGCTATCCCTACCCTTAAGTACCATTCCTTCAGCATTCAGGTCTGAATCAGGTTGGAATGGAGAGGCCTCCATCCTGAATCAACAGGCCGCTTTCATACCAGCCATCCAGGAATTTCCATACAATAGGCGTTATAAAACCTGAATTCGGACTACTCGTGGAATATTCCGGGAATCATTAAGGAATCCTGCTAGGAATTTGTCGTGAATTTCGACACGAATTCCCCCTGAATCAGAAGGCAATTTCGGTAGGGATTCTGAACAGAATCATCCAGGAATATGTGACAGAAATTCCTTACAGCGCGTGCTCGATCTTCGCTTCGTCTGTGATCCTGCGAGAGTCAGTTTAGCAAGCCCGAAGATCCTTATCATCCAACTTTCGATGTGACTTTTGATATTGCGTGTGACGTACAGAATATTTCTGACCGTCCAGCCAATAAAGTCCTATGTTTTCGCAAAACGGACTTTGAACGGCTGAATAATTTTATATACGAGTTCAATTTGTCCGATCTCTACATGTGACATACTGACATTGCAGTTGCTGTGGATATTTTTTACAATGCCATGAATTCATTTTTTACTGAATGCGTTCCGTTATTCTATCCTCCAAGCTCGAATAAACCGGTTTGCTAAAGAGTTGAGCCGACTTAAAAATAAAACAAAATAAAATATCCGCTCAAATGGATGCGCCAACGAAAGACATCATTACCACTGAGCAAATTCAGTGGGCAATAGATTTTTTCGATAAGTACAAAAGTCCGGGCCCAGACGGCTTAATACCGGCAATGCTACAATCAGCCAAGGACAATGCTACAATAAAAGCCATGGACTCCTGGACGTTCACATCCGGTAGTCTCTAGAGGGACATCAACTCTCGGATGCGCAGCATGCTTACCGCGAAGGAAATTTAACGGAAACAGTGCTACACGTAGTTGTACATCATGTCGAGAAGACATTACAACACAAGCAATACACGATGGCCGCCTTCCCAGAC